AGGACACTGTGAGTTCAGGGGCGTTGTCATTCACATCTGTCACGGTAACCAAAACTTTGGCAGTGTCGAAAAGTCCTCCACCGTCATGTGCCTGCACCTCTAATTCGTAGGAATTGCCTTCCTCGAAGTCCAGGCTCTGCAACAGGGTGATTGCTCCCGTGCGGCTGTCCAGTTGGAAAATCTGCGAGGCTCTCTCTGTAGTTTTCTGAATCGAGTATTTCACCTGTCCGTTCGGCCCCTCGTCGGCGTCCGTGGCCGTGACGGTGACGAGGACAGAGCCCACGGGCACGTCCTCGGGCACACGCACCGTGTACTCCGCCTGGCTGAACACGGGCGCGTTGTCGTTCGCATCCACCACGGTCACACGGATCCGAGCCGTGCCCGTCCGTGCCGGATCGCCGCCGTCCATCGCCCTCAGCAGCAGCTCGTGAAACGCCGCCTCCTCCCGGTCCAGCGCCTTGGCCAGCACCAGCTCGGGACGCTGATCGCCGCCGGGGCCCGCCTGCACGGCCAGCGAGAAGTGCTCGTCACCGCTCAGCTCGTAGCTCTGCACGGAATGCTGGCCCAAGTCCGGGTCATGAGCATCCGGCAGGAGAAACCGCGACCCTGGGGCTGTTGTCTCGCTCATTCTGAGCTCTATTTCTGCCTCTCGAAAGGTGGGCGCATTGTCGTTTATGTCCTTGATTTCTACTTCTATATCATACACCTTCATTTCCCCCTCCACGATCAGCTCACAGCGCAGCACGCATTGCTGCACACGCTCGCACAGCTGCTCTCTGTCGATCCTCTCCGCCGTCACTAAATGTCCCGTCTTACGGTGCAGAAAGAAGTACTGCTTCCGACTTCTTTCTGCGATGCGAACGCCGCGATCACTGAGCTCGGGCAGCTGCAGCCCCAGGTCCTTGGCCACGTCGCCCACGAACGAGCCCTTGGGCAGCTCCTCGGGCACCGAGTAGCGCAGCTGCCCCCACGCCGCCTCCCACGCCGCCAGCAGGACGGCCCAGAGCACAGCTCGCTGCCGCCGGCCCCAGCGCCTCCCCGCCCAGCTCATCTCCGCCAACTTAGCTCCCCGCTGCCGCTGCTGCTCAGCTCCCAG